TGATGATGATGATGATGATGATGATGATGATGATGATGATGATGATGATGATGTGTGTTTTTACGTCCCCGTCGACACAACTAAGATAATTTGTGAGGCAGCGCTGTGGAATCACGCTCTCGTCAATTTTTGAGCATGTAGACTTATTGGTATCATCTTAAAGCTTGTTTAGTTGTCTTTATTTGGAGGAAAAAATATCCATTTATCTTGAATACAAGTCGAGATATTTGCGAATGAAGGAAGTGGGGGTCACCTGTTTTCAGAGGTAAAATTAGTGAGAAAATGGCCGCCAAAGATTAGTTATTTCCTTAGCTTAAGAGTCCGTGGTTACTGAAAAATTTGTATTTTTAGTTCCTTTAATCCAAGTTTTTAAGAAAAACCCACACAGAACTGAGTTCTTTAATGGGCATGAAAGGTGTTGAGCTAAAAAAAACACAAAATTTTGATAAAAATTTACGAACCTGCAGAAAAATGCCAGTTTCTTCCCTTTGATTATTGTGACGAGAGCCTGATTCCATCACGCTGCCTCACATTTAGAAGACGGATTTCCTCCGTGTCTGTCAGGGCGAACGGGTCCTGAGAGGGAAACACCACCCCAGCAGGTTGACCTAGATACTTAATAGAAATTATCACCGCACAGGAATCGAACTCGGTACTTCTGTATACAGCGACGGGGTGTCTAACTGTTACGCCTCTGACGCCGATGTTTTATTTTCTATCTCAGGGTGTTCAGATTACATATTTGTATAATGTTATTATAGCGTGCGGATAAGCCAGGTTCGAATCGCTAATGGGGTGTTCTTGAATTAAGCCCGGTTGTTTTGTGGAGTTTTCAAGGATCTCACCCCAATTGGCTCGGAAGCAGACGTTGAATTAAGAAGTCCCGCATCTACAATATCCCGACAGCGATGAAATGATCCTTGAAACCATTCTATTGAATAGCCTAACTGTGTTGAAAGGGGCGTTAAAGCCGTAAATTGAATAATTAAACTGTTGATGGGGACGTTAAACCCTTACATTAAATAACCAGACTGTGTTGAAAGGCGTTTCAAAGCCTCACAAAAAATAGCGATGAAATGGGCATTAAACCCTTACGTTTAAATAACTAAACTGTGTTGAAAGAGTGGCGTCGGTTGCCGAGTGGTTAGGCTGCCGGATCCGTAATCGTGAGATTTAGGGTTTCGGGGGGGAGTGTTCGAGCCTCACCTTGGCCGACGTTGTGTCTTTGTTGAGAAAGGCACTTTACATGACTTTCCAATTTGGTTCGGTCCTTTCGGAGCTGAACGTTAAACTCGGAAGTCCCGCCTCTTAAAATACCCAATAGTGTTGATATTAGCGTTAAACCCATACCACTTCACCATTTCATTTGTGTGTGTGTGTTGAAAGGCCTTAAATTAAATACCTAAAGTGTCTTGAAAGGCGCGTTAACCCTTTTTGAGCCATACTGGCCTTCCCTTCATCGTACAATTTCGACTTTTACCGCATTCCCGCTGTTGAGCCGTACCGGCGTTTACCGGCCTGACACACCCGCCTTTAGTGCAGGTTTTGAAAGAAGAACGTTCCAGTCAAAGTTTAGATGCCGACGACCTTCCTCTATATATACGAAATTTCTTTGTAAATACGTCGCTTAGATCAAAAGCAGAGGGCTCTCGTGGTTAAGGTGTTGGCCTCTCATTCAAAGTTCCCAGGTTCGAATCCGTGTAGCGACGGGAAAACATTTTCTTCTATAAAATTGTTTCCTTTCACCTCCTTTCCTGCTCTCTAGCAATGTTCTGTCGTCAGCTTTCGTCTCCACTTTCTACCCCCACTCCCTCACCTCCTTTGTCCCCTCCTCTTGGCTCCTGACTCTTTCTGCAGCCTTTTTACTGCTACTTCTGGTCTCCTTCTTACTGCTGTCTTTCTGCCACACCCCTGATCTTCTGGTAGGAAAGATCTACACCTAGCCTTCTCGGACAAGGAAGAAAAATCTCGGAGGTCCTGTGTGCAAGTTACGCACGTTAAAGATCCCTTGGTGGTAAAAAATCGATAAGAGTAGGCTTCAGCCGGCACCCCGGGCAAAATTCAAAATTACCCACCAACTGAAAAAGTTTAATGTGTCCTGCGCGCTCATATGACCTTATGCAGTTACGAGCGCCGTATAACACTTACCACAAAAAAATAAAAAATACCACCCCTTGGCGCTCATATTATGACCTTATGCAGTCGCGAGCGCCGTAAAACCTTACAAACGCTAAAACAAAAGCAAAAACAATTACAATTTGTTTCCCCCCACCTTCCAGCCACCACGGCGGAGCGCTTCTTCCGCATCGACAAAGCCCAGGAGTCCCTCCATTACATCACGGACATCTCCTCTGAGGACCTCTACGTCCTTGACCCGGAGATGGCCCCAGCGTCGCCCTACCTGAGGCCTGACGTCACCAACGGCCACCACCAGCACCAGCACCAGCACCAGCAGCAGCAGCAGCAACAACATCACCATCACCACCGGGAGCTGACGTTACACGGTAACGGCGCGGTGACGGGAGGGGAGGACGGGACGTTGACCCTGAACTTTACCTTCCCGGTCACGCCGCCAAAGTCGCCCAATTTGTTGCGGTAAGTTGCGTCTTCCTTTTTATTTATTTATTTATTTATTTGTTGTTTTTTTAA